TCCACTTGGCATGGTTTGTCATTTTACATGTGATGAAGGACATGAGCTGCAAGGTGCACACAGCATGGAGTGTACACATCCAGGCCAATGGACCTCCAGATCACCAACCTGCACAGGTACATGTGAACCCATTTTACTTGGATTGCTTGTTGTTCACAACTTCATTTGTATGTTAATGACATGAAAGTCACATCTTCCTTTCCTTTACAACAGCTGTTACATGTTTGTTGCTTGAGCCTCCTAAAAACGGTCACATCAATTGTTCCAGCACTGAGTCAGTTTACAACTCTCAGTGCTCCTTCAGCTGTGACCAAGGCTACTCATTAGAAGGACCTGAGCTGCTGACATGTGGTCAACATGGTAACTGGTCTGCAGAGAAACCCACCTGTCAAGGTAAATAAGCAACAACAGAACAAGGGGAACAAGAAGTTAAAATGCATAAACTTAACATAACAAGTTTCAGTTCAAAGTTTGACGCTATTCACATTTCACCGTGTCTCCACAGCTCCTGCTCCAATTACTGCAGTTACCGCTGGTGTGGCAACAGGGGGCACTGCCTTGTTATCTGGTGTGTCTATGGCTTTGTGGGTCTTGAAAAAACTGAAGAAGAATGTAACCAAATTCGACCTGAGCAGGTTAGAGAAGGATTAACCATTTTTATTGTCTTTATTTTTAAGTTTATTGAAATTTCAGTGCTAATCTTCTCTCTTTTATTACAGCAGCACTGAGTCTCCCTCACAGAGCTACAAAAACAGCATTGACAGCCTAATATAGAAATCTCTGATATTCTTAATAAACAAATATGAATACTGTAAATTTTTACCACATTATTGCACAACATATTATTTGCACTAGTATAACACTCTAATAAGGCAAAGCCAATGTAAGAAAAAGAGCTTATTTAGACACATCCACTGAATCATTGTATCCCTTTGTAAACTGTAAAAAGATCTGTGATTGCTCTGAAATGTTGTTTCAACATGTATTTCCTCCCAGTGGGAGTTTTATATTGAACATATTGTTCTACAACTTCATGAAAATGCTGGGAAAATGTGGCTATTCCTGTTACTTAAAAGTTCACATAACATGTAAGCTGCCATTTCACTGCATACCTGTGAATTCTTTTTAGTATTTATGTGATATTTATTTTCTAAAAGAAAATTGTGTTGAATGTTTATTCAGGTGTTTGCTTGTACAAAGCTATATTTTTATTTTTATTTACTGAGCTACTGTAACTGTAATGTTCTCATGTACACACAAAACAAATAAATATTGTTTAAAAAAATTTGATTTTGGCACTTCCATGTTTTGTTATAATGACCAATAAAAATATTCCATTAGTTTTGTCACCACAATGATAGAAATGCTTAGCCGAGCAGGGTCTGAAGCCGTCTGCTTTCATAACTTGGCTCATCAATTCTGCACGACATGCACCGACTCTCACAGTTTTAGCAATGACCTTCTGCCACCATGACTTTTTTTAGAGGTTGAGAAAGAACCTCTTTTGAAAGCTGCCTGGACCTTTTGTCTCTCCAGCAACCTTTCCATCATAAAGGACATGACAAAGCAGAATAAAATTGAAAAGTGAGAGGTAGGAAGGAAAAGCTATATTTCTGGGTATTCTATCCATTGTTTTAATTGAGCGTCATTTGTGCAAGCACTTTCGTGGGACAGGAAAGGGTCAGATATCTTACATAAGGCTGAAAATGACAACATGTTGTGAACATCGAGTTATTCTATGCTAAGGCTGCCCTGAATGTAAAAATGAGAGCTTACAAAAACCTGGCAATGACCCTTAGATGCACTGAATGGACGCACAATTATTTTTACTGCTGCAGCACTTTCTTATCTTATGTTTGGGTTGATCAGATAAGCAAAGATTTAACTTCAGCAGCAGCTTCTGTCAAACAACATAACATCTGAGTAAATGAGACATTTTCTCATCAGTCATTTTTAATGATAATATGCATCATAATGGATGTAAATATATCCACCTTTCACCGTGGGTAGGCAACAGATTAATAATATAGGATTAAGGTTGATATAAATTATTGATATTATCTTTGGGTTTTAGATTTGATGCTAGCAAAATGTGTGACTGATGTCATGGAACATGCAACACTGTTACATGTTATAATCATCACACTATGAATTATTCTGAATGTTTTCAGATAATTCTTTGGATGAGACTACTGTCTGCGGGATGCATCACGACTCCAGCAAGACAATGACCTGGACCCAGGCCAGACAGTGGTGCCAGGCCAGATTCACAGACATGATGTTGAAACCAAGAGGAGGATGACTGTCTGGTCTCTATCCTGCTGCAAAGGATATTTTCTCCCTGTATTTCTGGATTCCACTCCCAAAAAACACAAGAGTGAAATTTGGACACAGTTTGAGAATAACAGCATACGGATCGGTAATGATTCATCAGCAACAAGTGAGCCAAATAGCCGCAGTGTTTTTTGTTTTTTGTAAACTAACTCAGGACGAAACTGAGGAGAATGGAATGATGGGAAATGCAGCAATTTAACATCAAGTGGTGAAGATTATTTTAAAGTTTGATATTTCCTATACAAAATTTTGCACCATTTTAAATCCTGTTCTTATTTTGTTGATTTAAAAATATTTTAAATTGTTATATGATCGTCATAATATCACTTTCATTGAACATTCATATTTGTATAATTATTTGTCTATATCTTTAACTGCTGTAACTATTAAATTTACCAACTTTGGGATTTATTAAGAATATCACATCTTCTCCTGAACTTGATTCATTTGTATGCAGCTTGGCAAAGGATAAGGCTGTTATCTGAAAAAAGGAATAACAGGAAATATTATTTTGGTATTAATAACAAGCATTTTAATCATGCTTTGTTTGGGGGGGAGGGGGGGGGGGGTTCATAATTGCCCAGGTTGAAAAAAAAAGCCAAACAGGTGAGCAGATGGCTATTAGAATGGGCAAAGAATAGCAAGTCAAAGTTATTAGTAATTTATTATTAGTAAAGGACAGTATAAACTGAGGAAACTACCACAGTTAGTTAAGTCAGGTCATCCTGGCATATTTATACATCCTTATACACACTTTCAGATGTCTGAATGTTTTTAAAATATTTCTTTCCACACAACATGCTCTACATATTTCAATAACTTGTACTTTTCATCATTATTTTGTTTTGTTTTTTACATAATTTTAACATACCTGAATACCCATGCAGGGCTGATGAGTGAATACAAATTCTCCTCATTGAACTTATGCATTCACTTCATTTAAAGATAATGATAAATAATTCTGACCAAGGCTGACGGTTCAGTGCTGTTAGGGTTTTTTTTTTTTTTATATCTCTGGTACACTGATTCTACTTCTAGTGACTCAGTATGAGATATTATTACCACTGACTAGAACAGCAATACTATTGCTAAGAGATTCAGTGCAAGTTTATGGCAAAACAGGTCCAGAATAATCCATAGCTCTATTTACTCTTCACAAGAAAGAAATGTGAGCATGAAAAGTAAGTTTTGAAATTCTTGTACCTGACAATTTCCCTGTAACCAAAGGCCTCCACAGTCACCGGTTCTCAACTCAAAAGAGCACATTTGAGAGAGAGTTACATCAGGAATGTGCAGCTGACAAGTCTCCAGCAACTGGGTGATGACATCCTGCTGATATGGACAAAGATTTCTGAGGAATGTCACATTTGACCTATTGCATAAATTTAACTTTATAATTGTGTAGGTTTAAAGTCAGGATGTGATTCATACATTTGTACTGTATTCCTTTACTATACTCTCACATGAAATGAGTCACAAGGACTTACTGTGTATGCATGTGTCTGTGTGGGGGTGTGCGTATATGAGTGAAAGCCTTCCTGAAAGGAAGCTATGGCCAAAATGATAACACAAAATTTACCAGTGGCTCAATTTCAGAAGGATAAATAATGTCCTTTATCTATTTATGAATAAGTGTAAATGTAGTGACAATAATGAGTAACTAAAGACAGATAAGACGATATTACTCATCCTTATTTATAGAAACAGATACGACATATTCAAAACAGTAAGGAACAACGCAGGACTACTCTGATAATTCATCCTGAATAACTCTGACTTTTCTAACACGATAGATAACTCTTTGCAAGTTGAATTATTACAACTTATTCATTATGAATAATATTTATTTTTCTCCTCACATTATTCATTCCTGTTTTATCTAAATGGCATAAACCAGTATCCATGCAACAGTCACAAATATTCTATCTGTGGTTCATCTTTATGTTCACCACAAATAAATAAATAAATACATCAGTTGTAATACATTGTAAAAAACAAAACAAAAAAACATCACAAATAACAACATTTGATGTTTTCCCAGTCTCCCAGTCTGCTCCCCGGTACCTCATAATATCCACCCATTTATAATTAGATTATTACTAATATGTTCCTCGCTTGTTCATGACAAACTTCGGTGTCTTTGTTTAACCTGAAAAGGATTACAAATGTTTTTATAAACCTGAGCCAAAGACCTGACCTTTTTCTCTAATGAATATATTTTCCCCATTTTTTAATCATGCAAACCCTTTCCACATCAAGATCAATGCTCTACTCACTGTTTCCATCCCTATGGGTCTAAAGGTTTCCTCTCGGTGGAGCTGACCCAGATCCAAACTGTTTTGGCAAGCACACTGAAAATCATCATCCTCTGTTTCAACATAAGACAACAGAAAACCAACAGTTTTATAAACTGATATTTCAGATTCTGATTCCATAGGACCAGATAATGTGTGAACACAGCTGGCAGCCAGTGTTGCAGCATATAAAGTTATCAATACATATATTGACTGAATTTATTTGAATATGTTTAAGTTAATATCATTTAATGCTTTTTTGATGATGACGGACAACAGAAGTTTTCTTTTTGTCTTTTTTCTTTCTTGTGGGAAATGATCCTGAAGCCTTCTGTGGAATTCAGCGTTGGGAAATGTTGCGGGAAATTCCGCTGAAAGGCTTCCTGTAGGAGGATGGAGTCAGATATAAGAGGAGGCTGTCCAGTGGATCACACTCAGAATCATTTTATCCTTAAATATACTGAGGCGGAAGGATCAACAATCTTCTGTAGGCTATCAGGCATATTAGTTAACATGGTGAGTAGAAGGGTTAGTAATTTAAATATCAATCTTTTCAGAGAACATTATTTCACTTTTATCTTATATTTAATGATGATAGCACGCTGTAAATTTATTTTAACTTGTTTTGTGATTTTATTTTCATAGGATTCCTGCTTTGGACTACTTAAGACCTGGGGATATAAGAGCTCTGCTTCATGGAAGAATTTCACCTTCATTTGCTTAGGTAAAGAATTTTGATGCAAGCAGAAACATCAGTGTAACTCTTGCAAGTTTTACAACCAAAGAGAAATTCTTAAAATCCATCCTTTCTGCCACATATGCATCTAATGTGTATCTCTGTTCTCTATCCTTAGTGCTGTGCATGTGGACTAGTGTAGAGTCCTGGTCTTATTTCTATTCAAACAACACAATGACATGGGAAAATGCACGAAGCTGGTGCCAGGAGCACTACACAGACATGGTGGCCATCCAGAACCAGGAAGAGATCGAGCATCTTAACAACTGGCTGCCCAAGAAAAATGGCTACTACTGGATTGGAATCCGTAAGATCAATAATGTCTGGACCTGGGTAGGAACCAACAAGCCTCTGACAGAGGAAGCAACCAACTGGGCAAAAGGAGAACCGAACAATGGCGAGAGAGAAATAAATTCAAAGATCAGTGAGGATTGTGTGGAGATGTACATTAAAAGAGACAAAGAACCAGGCAAGTGGAATGACGAGAGATGTACAAAATCAAAGACTGCTCTGTGCTACACAGGTGAGCAAAATTTTGGGACTAACATACTAGAGCAGATTAAAAAATTAAGATTAATTATGTGACACATTATTTTACTATAATAGGTAAAATTTCTAAAAGCATGTCTGTTTTTTCCAGCGGCTTGTAAGAATAACTCCTGTTTGCATGGAGAGTGTGTTGAAACCATCAACAGCCACAAATGTGATTGCTTTGAAGGGTTTTTTGGAGACAAGTGTGACCAAGGTGAGAAAACAAAATGACAGCGTAGTTTAAATACATATTTTAAGTCACATAAAGGATTTGATATCTAACTGTGTGTTTTATTTGTTGTCAGTTGTGCAGTGTAACAAAAGTGAGGTGATTGTGCCAGATAAAGGACATGTAAATTGCTCTCACAACTATGGCAGTTTCTCCTATGACTCCTTGTGTCAGTATTCCTGTGAGGAAGGATACAAGCTGAGTGTGCAGACTCCTCTGAGGTGCACGGGATCAGGAAAATGGTCAGAAAAACCCCCTACATGTGAAAGTGAGTTTAAGTTCTAATAGCTCGTAATATTGCTACTTTTTTTTTTTGTAATTATATTATTATTTTCTACACAGTGATGGAGTCGTGGACTGATGTTTTTTTTCCTGTTGTCTACAGTGATTCAATGTGAGAAGATGTCAGAGCCGACACATGGATCCATGAAATGCTCCGATCCTCTGGGCTCATTCAGCTATCAGTCCACCTGTACTTTTACCTGTGATGAAGGTTATGTACTGTCTGGATCTTCATCTCTGCAATGTGAAGCATCAGCAAATTGGAATGGATCCCAGCCATACTGTGTTGGTACGGCCACATGTTTTTAACCTTTCATCGTTGTGTAGTTTTTGTTATTTGGAGGATGATTTGCATGATGATTAAAATAAAAAGCTTTAATTTAACTCCTTCTGTTGCCTCTCTCTTTTGTAGCTGTTCAGTGCCCTGCGCTGCAAAACTTGACAAATGGCTTTGTCAGCTGTGGAGAAGATGCTGATACGAGGTTCAGCTACAAAAACACCTGCAGCTTCAGTTGTGACCAAGGTTACCATTTAGTGGGAGCCAGTAGAGTGACCTGCACATCAGGAGGTACATGGAATCAGCAGATTCCTCACTGTGAAGGTAAGAGGAACACGGAAAGTATAACCCACCATCTTCTATATCACGAGGACACGTTCAATAAAATAC